TCACATATACACACACATATATATATATACATATACATATATATATATAGGCCTATATATACATATACATATATATATATATATGTATATGTATATATATAATATATACATATACATATAAATATACATACACATACATACATATACATATGTATGTATATTTATATACATACATATGTATATATGTATATTTATATACACATATACATATGTATATATGTATATTTATATACACATAAATATACATATATACATACATATATATACACATATATATATATACATATATACTTATATTCACATATACACACACATATATATATATATATACATATACATATATATAGGCCTATATATATACATATATACGTGTATATATACATATATACATATACATATATATATATATACATATACATATACTATATATATATACATATATAATTTAATATTTTTTTGAAACACAATAAAATAGGTAACATTTTATTTTAAAAAAAACCAAACTAATTTTACATTTACGACGTATTGTTTATTTAATATGCTGAATCATTATTAATGGTATATAGGCCTACTTATTATATTTCTATAAATTAAACAAATATCTTATTAATCACACTATCGTAAATAGGCCTATTAAAGCAGTATTGAAGTATTATTAATTATTTATTAAAGCATTATTCGAGCACCTTCATTAGTATTATTATTATTATTATTTTATATATTATTTATCAACCATATTAACATTGAAAACATGAATGAGCTTATGTGGATAAAATTATCACAGAAAATAAACTTATAATTTATAAGATTATTTTTTAAAACAGAATCAAATAGATAACGTTTTATTTTAGGTTTTGCATAGACGTAATTTTATTTAATATGCTGATTATTACTATCTCATTAATCAAACTATCGTAAAGTTGTTATTATTATTATTATTGTTTGTTTATTTTTTGTTTTATGTATATGCCTAGACCTATATAATATATAATGTATACATTTAATAATTTAATTAGAAATAATTATTTAAATTACTAATTTAAAAACAAATATAATATAATGTTAACAATAATATAGGCTAAGCTAGACCTAATCAATTAATGATATAATAAAGGCAAATATTTAGAACATCATTAATACAACACCTTCATGACAGTCCAGCCCTCCAAATCTTGTTTTAATAAATCACTGAATGCACTTCAATGCTATACTTTTATCTTCATTCATTATTATTTTTACTTATTATTATTATTATTATTATTATTATTATTATTATTATTATTATTATTATTATTATTATTATTATTATTATTATTATTATTATTATTGTTATTATTATTGTTATTATTATTATTATTATTATTATTATTATTATTATTATTATTATTATTATTATGTCTTTGCCATTAACATTATCATTGTTTCTCTGCCATAGGAATCTTGTACAGGGACATGTTTCCTTTTTGCATAACCAGTCTCATTACGTTTTGAGTGAAATAAAATTATGAATTATACCAATGTCATCTATCGATAAAAACATCGATTCGATTAATTAACAGCAGCTTTTCGCACTGTGGCAGTGCCGATAGAAGACAGCAGCTTTTTTTTTTGGCACTGCGGCAGTGCCGATAGCCACTACCGTACAATGTGTGTAGGTGTTATCAGTACTTAACTGTGAATGCATGAAGAATCAATCAGTCAATTGATTGGATAACGCGTTTGCATCATCGACACACCATTTTGTAGAGGTATTTTTGTAGCAACAATAGTATCGTAGGAGCTACATCAGGGCATGGAGGAAAGAAATTGTTCTTTCCTCCATGATCATGGGTTCTCAATAATGTATGCAAAGCTTTCCAGCGTGCCAAGCAAACCACTGTGATCAAACTTGAACAGCTGACCAATCAGAACACGGCCAACAATACGCGAAGTGTTCTACAAACAAACGTGTAGTCCCAAACGCACTTGTTTATAATTACGCTATTGTATTGTGGGACCTTACCAGAATATAATATTACTGTTTTAGTATACATACGGATACCTATAAAATATATAATTTATTATTAAAGTTTGCATTACATCATTGTTCAGTTATTTAATCGATCCACCAGTTTTGTATATTGCCTATGAACATTTGGACTTCTCTTACAATACTGTACTTAATTTCAGTAATTAAGATTTTGAAAATTTTAGGTGTATAAAATAACAATTAATATTCTCGGGCTTGGAGTCTGTCAAACCGTCTTCGTCACATAAAGATATATGGGTCAAACCGGTCCTTATTATATTCAAAATTTAAACCCTTTAAGTGAAGGACTTTGAAATATATGTGCTAGGCCTTTTCCCTGCAGGGAAAATAGTATGGATAATTATAGTATGGATGAGCTGAGGTGGCTACTGTATGCTATGCAAGTATTTAACCATTACCATCCAACGGTAAATTCTACATCTGCCCCTACTCACATCAGTAAAATTCCTCTCTCATCGCTCGTGGTTGGGATGATGTTCAAGCATTTCCCAGGGAGAATTTCAGTTGAACTACATTAGGCCTATGAATTTAAAACTCGGTATACATATGGTATGAATCATGTCGAGTGCTTCTTTCATTTGCTTTCAATACTTGGTAAAAGTGAGACAGTAGTTACTGTTTCCCATCGGCCATCTTGAATTTTCCATCTCAAAGTAAAAAAAAAAAAGTTCCTTCATTCATATTTTAAAAAAATATTAGGATGAGAAACTATTTAAAAAAAAAAATTTACTTGGCCTAAAGGCTCATTTACCAGGCAGAATTTCAGATGAACTAGTATTCAATATACATATGGTATGAATCATGTCTAGTGCTTCTTTACTTTGGGTTCAATATTAAGTAAAAGTGATAAAGTAGTTAGTGTTTCCCATCAGCGTTAAAAAAAAAAAAAAGTGCTCTCATTCTCCTTCTTCAAATATATTAGGATAAGAAACTAATTTTTAACTTTACTTGGCCTAAAGGCTGTCATGCATATTCGAGGGTTTGCGGTATACTGGCATTTTAGCAGTTTGTATTTCAGATAATGTAGATGTCAGTATTGTGGCAGATCAGTAAACGTTGGTGGTGTAGCAGTGGATACTGTAGCAGATACATTAAGCTGCTACTGTAGCAGATACAGTAGAGGTTGGTATTATGGCAGAAGAGTAAATGTTAATGTAGCAGTCAGTACCTAAGCAGATACAGTAGAGGTTGGTTTTGTGGTACAACAGTAAATTTTGGTGTTGTAGCAGTCGGTACTTCAGTACAATAGGTCGCTATTGCAGCAGATACACAGATACAGCACAGCTTTGTTATGTGGCGGAAAAGTAAATGTTGCTGTACAGTACTGCAACAGCCAGTACCATACGGCCGTTCCGTGGCAAAACAACGTAAGTTGAAATTTTCAATTTTTGCGAAAAATTGATTTAAAATTTGCAACTTGGCAATAAATTGTTGTACCCTTTTGAAATTTTGCAGGATTGTATATCTGTACACATTGTAATTACAGTACTGTATATGTAAAATTTAATTACAACTGTTTGTTTATTGCAAAGTTATTGCAATAATAAATGATATTCACAGATACATTGTTTTGCCTCGGAAACATGTCAGACTCGGTGTCGTTTTAAGTGATATATTTTTGGAATTAAACACATTTGGGGAAATCACATGCATTATCCAGCTTGTTCATATGTCGCTGTTAAGAATATCAATATTAAAAAACACCATTAATCAGTTGATTTTGCCTTGCCAAACTCCATCATCAGCTCAAAACATTTTCTTAAACACCATTCCGAGGCAAAACAGCGTTGTTTTGCTTCGTAATCTTGCAGTTACAGTGTTTTACATGGAAAATCACTAGATTTTAAGTTCTGTGCTTAAAGATAGGTGGTACTATCACTGAAACGACTAATTATTGAGACCTGAAATTTTCATAGGTAATTCACAAGTGTTTAATATACTCTCAAATTATACTACAGTATTTTAAAATAAAAAAAAAGTCAGTTACGCTGTTTTGCTTCGGGACGGTTGCATAGAGTTAATTGATAATTTGCAGATACAGTAAGCATGTGTTGTGTCAGTCACAGTAAAACCATCAACAATTTCATACCGCAAAACACAATACAAAAGAATACAACAAACCAATATGTACATAGTATTTCTTCTTATTTATTTTTAATAAATCGATGTTTTTTTAGTCTTTATTTTCTGGAATGCTATGCCTAATAGCACATTTTAAACAGTAATTAGAAGATGTTGATGTTGAAATTCTCTAGATACTGTATTACCATGAGAATGGAATCACCTGAAATGCAAAGAAGAGAAAGTCTGAGTTACATAAAATCAACAATTATCAATGTATTCAATAAACACATTGTTCACACCAATAGCAATTCAGCTTTTTGGCCACGACTCGACCCAATTCCCGGGATGTAAAAAAACAATAATAGTTTTAATTTTATTTTCGTACGACCATCTAGATTATTGTTGACCTAATTTTGGATTGCAAGCTATGGTTTGAGAATTGCTGGTTTAAGCTTTAGGTTCCATAAAATCGCTACACACTATTGCTGCCAGCCTTCGGTGATGCTGATTGGTCGGTTGAATTGGGAACTGCTACGCAGAACAATGATTGCATTGACAACACTGTAGCTACAGTGTACCAATTGTAAGTTAACCAACGTTTACATGCATGCAATCAATATGTGAATGGCCTGGCATACCAAGAACAGCAAGGGTGAAGGAATTAAATGCTGTTGCCGTAACAAGTAGAGTAACAGCCGTAACAAGTAGAGTAACAATTAGTGTTGGTCTAGGCCAAATTCTATGTTTCAGTGTCAACCCCCTTTACATACTGCATTTTGGTTGAAAGAATGGTACCACAGGGCTAAAATCTAGGTTCATGTTAACAAATTAATTTAATTAAAATTGATCCTACAGTAATACTATGGTTTAGTGCCAATCCCCTTCACCTGCTGCATTTTTGATGAAAAAATCTAGGTTCAAGTAACAAATTTATTGAATTAAAATTGGCCTATTGAAAAGTAGCATACAGGGCATACCATCCTAAAAGCAGCATCAATGGCCAAAAAGTGAAAATAAACTTTTTAATATACTGTATTTATATTCTCAACATTGTAAGTAAACATGTATTGTCACTTAAAAATGACAAAAAAACAATAATTTTGAAAGTAACTTGCTCATTTTGCATTAACAATATATAATTATCTTGAGCATAAGAATTATTGAATTAAAAAAAAAACAAAAACGTGTACCCTGATTTTTATACTGGATAATTATAATTAAAAAAATAATAATTAAACACTTTCAGTGACTTAAAGTGTGATCATTTTTCACCGTAAAAAACACTTTTGAAGTACATTTCTATGTTCAATTTGATGATTTTGATGTGAAAAATGAGTGATTCATTTGAAAATGTTTTTTTTTTTTGCCCATGGGCTTCTTTTTGAGATGGGCTTCGACTTTTACAAGCTAGAAAGGCGGCTTCATTTTGAGACGGACTTCTCAAGATTAAGCCCATAGGGCTTCTATTTGAGGTTTCATGGTAGCTCATTTTAGTATGGCATACCTAATACAGGTATTTTGGACTACTACTTGCAAACAACAAATCGATAATAGATTTTGGAGATTTTTTTTGTGTAAATTTTACCAATAAAATAATAATAAAGTGTTGCATGAAGTTTTTATTGGTCAAATTTTGAGATACTTGCTAGGATGTGAAAAATGAAAAGCACAATGTACCTTGATGTTTGATCACATGGGCACTGGACCTTGAGGGACAGGAGCTGGAGCTGCCGGGGCGGGGGCCACGGCGGCAGCAGCTGCAGCTACTGGTGCTTCGGGCTTGGCGCCTTTCTGTTCTGAGATGGGCTGGCTTGGTATAATCTCTTCCTTAGGTTCGACAATACTGACAAGATCAGGTAGAGGCTTTTTGGGACCAATCTTGCCTGCTGGATCCCATGGCAACATAATTTTAACCTTGATTCCAAGCACACCTGTTGAGATAAGACAGAAAGAGAAAATCAAATTACAACAATGATTGATTGAAAATTCTATTCAGGGCTGGAGAAAGTGTCCGATATCATGAAAGTCCTTGTGGCATTTTTAAGGGAAAAGTAAAAAAAAACTGTTGGGCTATATAGTGTTCAGTTCAGTTCCACCCTCTGATGTCAGTCGCATACCAGAGGCAGTCTTCTAGCATCCAAAAATATGCTGGGTCCGACTGTTTTAGGAACTTCTTGACTGGGTTAGGTTCCTAGCTTGTCATGAATCACACTAAAGAACATTGCTTATTATTAACCATGGGTCGCGATAATATGGCTTCCGGGCTTTTGCAAATAGCATTCGTTTTGTTAATGAATATTTGGTACAGATAACATTTGATGCTGGAGGAATTATATTAAGAGAATTTTCATGGTCGGAGGCACAAACATTTGTAGCAAAGACAAGCCAAACCAGTCACTGGTCGAAAAAAATTGATTTTTAGTTATTAAAACCGGGTTTAAAAGTAAAATGAAAGCTACAACATGCTAAAAGAATCATTTAAATCCAACATTTCCTTATGAACAAGTTACAAACATTTAAACATAGAGCCGTTTAAAGAACAATACTTGAGTAACCAGTCTTGAAAGTTTATGATTTTGGGCATTTCTCAGGCAAAGATTATCATGAAGTTGTTAAAAATTGTTGTTTTAACATTGAAAATGGGGAAAGTAACAGCATAGCATGATGTACATATATATATAAAGGTTACTTTAGTGTAATAAAATAGATTCAAAAGATTTTGAAATTCCAGCATGTTTTGGCCATTATCTCTGAACAGGATTTGCGACGAATGACTTGTTTGGTTTGTCTTTACCGCATTTTTTTCCCAGGCCTGACTTCCATTGTCTGATTATAGTATACAACAACAAAGTTTGATGTAAAACAGAGGGAGGCAGGAGGTAGTCCATATCATCCAACAAAAGAGGGAAGTAGAATTCACTGCTATAATATTAAACAGCTAATTGTCCATCCGCATTTAACATTTCAATCTGTGAAGGCAAAATTATGCATTTTGCACAGACAGCAGTGTGGTAGTCGATTTTATGTAGTACTTTTCTCACCGCGTACACGTAAACTTTGTACGCATAGGGAAGTACAGTTAGACTTGCCTAAAACAACTTGGCCTAACTCAAATAATTTCTAAGTCGAACTTATTTTACATGCCAAATTATTGTGTTTTCCATTAATTAACAATCTGTAAGTCAAATTTTATCTAAGTCGAACAATTTTTTCAATGGCATTTTGGATTCAACTGTAGTAGAAACTACCACAACACTTACCAGGTGGAATAGATGAATGAAATGTTATTACCTAATCTATATTTATGAGGTATGGTTATAATATTATCTATTATCTTTTACATAGATTATAATTCATAGTTAGCAAGACAATAGAATTGTCCATGAACAGTTGTTCAGTAACATTTGGCATTCTCATCCAGTGTTTTCAATTGTCCATGAACAGTTGTTCAGTAACATTTGGCATTCTCATCCAGTGTTTTCATCCAAGAAAGTATGCCCAGGCTCTAGGATATGACCATGTATGTGGCAATAAAGCATGGTCTTATCGGAAAGTATGGCTTGAACATTTGCAGACCATATGCCAGCAATATTGGTTTCTGATTATTTAGATTTTAAAAACTATTTCCTATGTGATCCTCAAAATTCCCATTCTTTTGTCTCTATAATCTAAGCTTCATTTACATGATGCGAACATGATACGCAAAAGGATCTCACCTTGACGCAACATAACGTGACGGATGGCGGTGTCAACATACTCGTTACACGGATGACCGCTGTGAATCATAAGCCCATCGACGAACTTCATCGACTTGGCACGCTGTCCTCTCAACTTGCCGGACACCACTACTTCACAACCTTTGGCATTGCTCTCCATGATAAAACGCAAAACACCGTAGCAGGCACGACGGACAGCAAGACCTCCCAGCAGCTTGTAACGGAGAGACTCACACTGGGCGATGGCACAGAGACCACGAGTTGCAACTTTTTCAGCATACAGCTGTAGGGAAAGTCAGCTTAATAATTTTGTGTTGATTATTGCTAATAAAAATTTGTATTTGTCAAATTGTGTCTAGTTTCTTAGCTGGAATAAGTCACATTTGTCTATATTTATTAAGCTCCCAAAATGTGGATACATAATCAATCACACAAAATAATGAACTTCCTTTATCTATAAATTCCAAGCCATATTGAGAATAATAGCACCTGATTGATGTTTTTCTTAACCATTTATATTAGTGGTTCTCAACTGGCGGCCTGCGAGGGTGTGTTATGCAGCCTGCGAGAACAAGCCAAAAATAACATTTTCTGTTAGGCTTGGGCCTAGATTTCTAACCTTAATAATTTTGCATTCTGTTTTGCTGACTAGGCCTATATATTGCCCCACAAATTGAAGCGATTTTATTAATCAAATTGGAAGAACTATCGCAGCAAACAGTCAACAAATACTCTATTACTGATATACAACATTCAGACTTTCAATCACCAAACATAAGGAAGTTTCTTAGGTCAAGATGCCCTGTATGAGCATCTAGCGGCTTATTATTTTCAAAAAAATTTCAAATTTGGGAAGGAGCGCACAACCTCCAAAACTCTCCTCTGGCTCACACCTGCGGCGCTCGAAAAAAAAATCTTGCCAAATGCATTAGTTAAGCAGAAAAGTAAAAAAAAAAAAAACAAAAAACAAATTTTAATAAAGTGTGTGCGTGAGGTTTTACTCGCAAAATATAAGTTAAATTTTGATCCTATTTCCTGCACTGAAAGATAGATTTTGATACCTACCTCAACAGTACCTTCTGGAAAGTTAAATCTCTTCTGGACAACCGAGGTCAATTCACGGATGCGGCGACCCTTCTCTCCTAGAACATTCTGCGTTCGAGTAGCAAGAATGATGATCTCGGTTCTTGTTGGTGTAACTCTAACTTCGACACCACTGTAGCCATCTTCAGCCAACTCTCTTGTCAAGAATTCATTCAATTCTGCTTTGAATACTCCATCAGAGACAAACTGGAAAGTAAGTAATTTCACAACATAAAGTATATAATTAATAAGTCTAATTTAGCAATAAATAATGGCAGAATAAAAGAAGACCTAGGCCTAGTCATTAGTTACTCTCGTCAGCGAAAATACAAAGCCAACATACTCAATCTATTGATTGGTTAGGCCTTGTGAAAAAAAAAATTAGTGCCATGAGAACACCCAATATAAGCCAACCTACCCATGCCCCAGATTGTAAAGTGAGACCAGCGTGGAGGATATATTATCCACGCAAAAATCAGGCCTAGAAACCTGTCTGCGGATTTCTGAAAATAAAGGCTGATTTCCACGCAGACTTTGCCACAAAACCAGGCTTGGACCTAATCTTATTCTTTATATATGACTAATTTTATTATGCAGTAGTTATGATTCTGTACACCTATTTTCCAAGCAATTTCCACACAAATTTTAGCTTGCTTTTGGGGTGTCATCCGCACAATTATTCAAAAACTTTACAGTATGGTTCGGGGTTGGGGCCTAGTCATTTTAATTTTATTTACTTGTCACAACCACAACAAAAACAAGCTGCTTTACCAGTAGTAGTAGCTTTATTTACCCAGACAGGTAGTAGAAGGCCGTAGCTAGGCTTCCCTTGCCTACATATGCTAAAAAGGGGATACTCTCTAGCTTGGTCGGCCACGGCCGCCGCCTAATGAATGTATGTAGGCCTATGCTAGAAGGCCTACCTTTCCCGAAGCGCGTGCGTACAGTACGTCGCACAGACAGTAGACAGGCTAGGCTAGTAGGCCTACTCCTTTCCTTCCCCTATAAAATGGGGCATAGTTACAGCGCCGACGTCTTGCCCGTCTAATTTTCAAAAATAACGGTAATTATATAATATATAAAAAATATAGGCCCAGGCCTAGCACCCCCTGATCAACCATATGAATAATTATAAAAGCCTTTGCTATTGAGCAATGGAAGAGCATGGAGACACAACGCGCGAATCAACAAATATCAAAAGAGTGTCGCACAATCTTCACAAGAACAGACTAACATCATTATCTGTGGTAATTATTTATAATAATAACATAATTTTTAAATTCAAATAAGTACCTACAATATGTTAAAATGATTCATATACCTTTCGCTTCTTGGACATTTGAGCCGCCATCTTGAAGGCTGAGGATAAGAGGAAGAACCCGGATTCGGTATGCAAAGAGGGCGCTCTTTATTAATTAAATTTTTTAAAAGTACTGTAACTGTATAACATAATAGGCCTCATACTTCACTCAATACAAGCAACATTCCCAAGGGGACAATTCTCCTTGAAAAGAGGAGAAATAGCCTATTAATGCAGCTCTATTAAGGCCTGTTTAATACTTGCAACGATAACGATAAAATGCTAAAAAACAATTGTTCATATAGAAAATTGAAAAGAAACAAGAGGATTTTTTTTTACACTGGGGCAACGATTTTTCATGTATTCGATAACAAAATATTTTGAAAAATCAATTCAAATGTCGTCATAATCATGGAAAACGTAGTAGTAACGATTTTATTGTTTCTCTATGATTATGACGTCATTTGAATTGATTTGTCAAAATATTTTGTTATCGTATACACGATAGTTCGTTATCGAATTGCCCCAGTGTAAAAAATCCTCTTATTCCTTTTATTTTCTATATGAACAATTGGTTTTTAGCTTTTTATCGATATCGTTATCATTGCAAGTATAAACAGACCTTTAAAGAGACACTAATTTTTTTTGTCGTCCATGAATAGTCTAAAAATAATAATTTTTCATTCTAATTTTTATTTGAAGACTTTTGAACATTAACCCAGATTTTTCCTTGATAAAATGGCTGTCCAGTTGTGTAAAATCATACATTCTCCATTGGTTTTGTCTATCTAATATGGAGTTGACAGAAAACATCACGATATTATATAATTATAATTTCGAAATGTGAAAAAAAAAAACATAATTCAATTAAATTACGGACCGCCATATGTTTAAAATACCACGGTATATGTACAGGAGGCCTACATGAATACAACTTATTAATTATTGATCAAATTAAATAACGTTCGTTAAATATTGCACAACTCAAATGAAGATGGTGGAAACAATGTTATCTTTTATCTTAAAGAAGAAAGCCATTGGCCACAGCTGTCAGTATACAGAGCGAAGCCACCATATAATGAGTCCAGAGCGCGTCCCAGCAATTTTCGTTTCTCGCAAAACGCAGCGATGAGGTTTGCCGAAGTTTTTGTAGTGTACTTAGCTATTGTGGCATGCCAAGCTTACAAGCCTTGGGAATGCCCAACTGAGATCCTGGAAGAGGATCGAGTTGACTGCCATCCGGAGAGTGGTGCATCGGAGTCGAACTGTATAGCCAGGTAGGGCTGTGCCGCAGTGGCGTATCCAGGGTCCTAA